TTGTAGGATTAAGTGCTATATAAATAAAGTTGATTGAGAAACTGTTGTGGTTATAGGGTTTCGTATTGAAGAATTTTGTGCAAAATTCTGATGATAAAATACAGTTTGTATGTAATTTATCATTATATTTATGAAATTTGGTTATACAGTGAGGAAAAAAAATTTAATGAAAAAATGTATTATTAAACACTCAAAGTATTGAAAATTGGTACCATTAAGTGCCCATATTGATTCCTAGGTACTGGTAATTGGTACCAAAACGATTCAAATGTGAAAGGTACCCATCTCTACTGCAGAATGTTCAGAAACCTAAACTATGGTCAGAGGTTCTTGAAAGAATCGCTTTGATGCCACTTATCTTGACTTTTTTGCGGATGGCAGGCCAAACCATGGAAAGATTTGCTTTGTGAAATACCCAGCTACACGTGTACAGAACCAAAGATTTATTGTGGGGTTGAGTTTTGAACCAGTTGTTGTTCATAAGCCTCACACACACAACGCTTTAAATTGATATGGAGGAAAACCAGCATTACCAAAGGTTTGCCTTAAAGGATCAGCGTGTAATAGAGAAGCAGACTTGGTTCTCCTGAGCTTTCAGCTCCTCGTGAGACAAATATTATCTGAACGAGCAGCACCATCTACTGGATCATCACAATATGACAGCCACAAGGATAGAGAAGATGCAGGTGAAACTGGAAGAATTTGGTGCAAAAGTTCATTTGTCACTAATTTAACTTAAAATTTCAACCTAATATACGAGACACACCCATTCCATGCAAATCCAGATACTTCAGCATTTCTTTGTTATAGTTGTGATGATTATTGCTTACAGCTGATGAAAACTCTACATTCAAAACCTCAGATACCTCACTCTAATCAGCTGATGAATCCAAAACACCTGCAACGGTTTCAGAGACTTTAGATGGTCTCTCAGGGTAGTTCTCAATGTCAAGGCGCCTGGCCTTGCGAGGCAACATCTTGCTAGGCCAGGCGCCTTACCTTGCGAGGTGATGTCTTGCTAGGCCAGGCGCCTTGCTTACGAGGACACGGTCCTTCCTTGGTCAAAGAAAACAGTTAAATGTAACAGACTTGCATCAAGTGACCGCGGCTTCCATGGTGGTCATACAACGGCACGTGATACGGGAGATAACGTTATATTTTATACGTATTAGTTTCAATATAAATATAAAACGAGCCATTTACATTTTAAATTGTGTAAATGTTTATTAAATTAAATATATAAGTGAGTTACTACCCGCTAGCCACCGAAGCTGCACTACTAAGCAACTAACCAACCATAGATAACTTCTTTGGATCTAAAACATTTTTAATTAGTTGACTTACTTGAAAGTTGCCCTCGAAGTAGCTGCTGGCTTCTGATCAAATCCGCCGTCCTTTTGAAAATACTGCGGTGTATTCTGGGTAATTTTTGACCAAGGCTAGGCTACAAGACACCTCGTGTGTCCTTGCTCAGCTAGCTAAACGGCTAATAAACGGAGAACACACGCCTCGGTAGAACATGAACACTGGAACACGCCTTGGCGGTTCCTGATGACGTATCTCCTAAGCAACCGGGGCGGGGCCAAGATATCTGGAAGGACGCCTCACCTTGGGAGTGTGTCCTGACTTTTGGTATGATGAGGAGATGGCTGCCAGAGCACAGGGACCATGAAGGCTCGTTTCTCAGAAATAGATCTGAGAGATAAGAAGGCCCAAGACCATGAAGACATTTAAAAATCATTAAAAGAACCTTAAAGTCGATGCTGAAATGTACAGGAAGCAAATGCATCTTGCTTAAGACGGGTGCAATGCTCCTGCCTCCTGGTCTTTGTTAGGACATGAGCTGCTGCTGAATTCTGAATAAGTTGTAAACCTGAGGTACTCTCTTTGGGAAGACCAGAAAGCAGGGCATTACAGTAGTCTATTCTACTGGTGATAAAGGCGGGCATCAGCGTCTCTGTATCGGCCCAAGAGAGGAATGGGCGGACTTTGGTGATGTTCTTCAGGTGATAACAACCTATTTTTTATGATGTTCTTAATGTGGGGACAAAAGTTAGCTCAGAGTAAAAAATCACGCCCAGGTTCTTCACTTGAGAAGATGGATTAAGAGCTAGTGACTGTAGCTTAGGTAGAAGTTTCTCTCTCTGGGTCTCAGGACCAGTGACTAAAACTTCAGTTTTGTCCCGGTTGAGCTGGAGAAAGTTTTCTGTCATCCAGGATTCAACATCTGACATGCAGTTAAAAAGGGCATCCAATGATAGTACGTCATCGGGAGACACAGAGATGTACAACTGTGTATCATCTGCATAACTGTGAAACACTCTGTCGCCCGATGACACCACCAAGTGGAAGCATATAGAGATTAAAAACCACTGGGCCTAAAATCAAACCCTGGGGCACACCACATGTAATCTCACAGGTCTTAGAACAGAAGTTATCTAGACTTACCATAAAAAGAAATAAGCCATTTATGGACGGCACCAGAGAGGCCGATGTGTTTAACGTTGTGGTCCACTGTATGAAAGGCAGCGCTTAGATCCAGAAGAACAGAACTACCACCTTCTGTTCGTGATTTATTCTTAGATCATTTCAAACTCCTCAAAGGGCTACACCGTCTCAGTGCCGTGGTTTACTCTAATACCAGACTGAAATAACTCAAGGACAGTATGTGCATTAATAAAATCATTAAGCTGGATTAAAACAAGCTTTTCTAAAAGTTTACTTAAGAACGCTAAATTAGATGTTGGTCTGAAGTTGTTAAAATCGCTAAAATCTAAATTGCTCTTCTTCAACAGGAGCATCACCACCGCCCCTTTAAAGGCGGCAGGAAGATCACGGTTAAAATCTCATATCTAAAATATACATAAAATGGCTAAAACTGAAGTAGGAACTGGATCTAAAAGACGTGATGGGCCTGACTGAGGAGGAAACTTTCTGGAGTCTCAGCTTCCACCAGGACAGTGTTTCCTCTGGTACAACCGTTTTCCACCTTTAACTTCTGAGGAATTGAAAAACATGAAAAGTGATGAAATGAATCAGTAAAGTAGAAAGAATTGTTTTTACATCACATTTAGCATTTAAATATCTTCATCTTTATTCATTTGTGTTGCTTTGTGTAGAGAATGAACACAACATAAAACAACATCAAAGGTTTGTGCTTAAATGAGTTTAGAACGTTAAATGTTCATTTTTAGAACATTTGTCCTTCTGAATTTCATCTGGTGTATGAGAATGTACAAAAAGTCTTTTTGACATAAATAGAACATAATATATTGTTATATAGATCTTAGGTCACATGGTCGTCCTAACCAAATAAATAATTAACCGGCTTTTATCATGGGTTGCCTCTGCTTCAGCCCGCCTGATTCACATTTCATTACCCTCTTACGATGACATCACATGCTGCAGAAACCTGTTAATCCCGCGTTCATTTAGATCAGGTGTATGGCAGCAGGGAAACACCTAAAACATCCGGAGCAGGGCTGCAGCTGCTTCTGAGAGGGCCTGAAGCTTCGTTCACACTGAATGCAGAATGGATAAGATCCAGTTTAACATGGATCAGAAATCACAGAGACCAATGAAACTAGCGGTGGTGCTGACCCAGATGCAGAGCTCCAGAAAGCTTCCACATGGAGTCTGGACCCTGAGCCAGACAGGAAGTGAGATGTGGTTCAGCAGTAAGGAGATCGTAGGCTGTACTTCTGGGGCATCGCCAGCACTGACTGAAGCGGTGCTCGTGGTTACGCTCGACTCTTGTATCGATCTTTCAAATCAGAAGTGTTGTCAAAGACGTCGACGCCTTGCTTGTGCAGAAGACCACGTGACTTTTCCAAACGTTTCGGGGCAGCCTTGAATTCAGAGGGAGGTGGTTCAGGGTTCCAACTGCAGGGGGAGCTAAGGGGAGCTGAACCAAAACACCCAGGGGGAGGCCGAAAAAGCTCCTGGTTTTTCTTGTACTACGTATTTCTGTGGATTACCCGGGGGTTGTTTTGAGTGGAGAGGATGCAGAGTGCTGATGGTAGTTTCGCTCCAGGAAGCTCCGTCCCGCGCACGGCCACAGTAACATTCTCAAGTGTCGCCATGCACCCCAAAAAATGTATTTAACACGCGACCATTTGTGTCGGCTCACATCCTCTCGTGCTGTCTTTGTGCCTGATGCGCTGCGGGGCGCACCACTTGTCTTGTGCTCCGGGGGCTCGCCGGCAGCAGGTTTCTGTAGGACCGAGAGAAGGTGCTGGACAGACAAATAGATTTATCTCACTATGTGGTTTTAACTTTGTAAACAAATGAAAAAGCACGTAAAACCTTCACAGCTCAGTCCCACACCCAGGGCCGTTTCAAGGCCTTTCGGGGACCAGGGCGAGAATAAAGTGCTGTAGTATTTTCTGATGGGACAGCCACTCTGTAACACACCTACCTTCAGATTTTAAGACAACAACGGACAGATTTGGACACACTTGCCTTTAGTGTGCCGTGCTGATGCTAGGTTGAAGTCTGGCCAGCAGGTGTCACTCACTTAACTGGGTTCAAATGGTTCACAACACTGAACCATTAGCTTCATGTTGGTCCAGCGGTGTGGAAGGCTTTGGTTTCTCCATCACCAGGTACTCGAGGTACGAGAAAACGGCTCAGGGGGCTCAGAGGTCAAAAAGGTGAGGAAACAGTGCTGTGAAGGGTCATTCTAGCACATAGGGGCTCAAGAAGATGGCCTTGTCCACGCCGCACTCCAGAGCTTCAATTGCTGTCCTGGTCACCATGGGTACCAATGAAATACCGCCGTTCAGCTGCCTCATTTACTAGCAGAATACTAATATAGCTTTGCATTGACCATTTATGGCAGAAGGTGTGAATAGGAGGCGGGATGTGATCCAGAAACACCGGAGCACATTTGTAGGAGCAGTGCTGAGCTTAGGTAGAGCGAGGCCCCAGGCATCCTCCAGCTGTACACGGGGTCATCAGATTTATGTTAATCACAGGAGCCATACATGACTAGGGAACCATTTCAAAGGCAATTAAGGTATTAGTTTAATATTTCTGAAAAGAATGAATACAAAGACTTTAGACAAAGTATTTGGTTCTGCACCAAAACAACAGGTAATAATAACTCTACGGACTTTGGCCTGATGCCGACCCAACTCTGATCCACCAGTAGTCATACAGATGTTTGGTTTGAACTAGCAGGTCAGAGCTCAGGTGAGTTTCAGCCCCTACATGTGAAAGTGTGAAAGAAAACTTTTATATATTTATATATTTTATATATAATAAAAAACACAAACAAAAACAAAGGAAATGGTAAAAACATCTGGAGCCTACATCAACATTATAATTACATCTGTTAAACTCATCATTTAGACCAGAGACCAAGGCTCCGCTACACCCCCCCCAGTCTGTGTCTGCTCAGCATGGAGGGTGATGTCAGCGTTCACCATCCTTGGTCCCGGTAACCATGGAGACCACACCACTTGTTCTACTAACACTGTTTAAGTTCCCTGCATCAAAAGGCAGATGGGTAGACCAGCAGAGCCACCAGTGCCTCCCAGACCAGGAGACGAGGACAGCCTGCTGGTAACCGGATCAGTGGGGCGTCCCCCACCAGACTGGACCATCCTGTCTGAACTCACCTACGTGCACTCAACTCGTCTGCGGTCCAGGTAGACAGGGATGTTGGCAAATACACCACGACACCACACAAACCTAACGGTGGTGTTGAGTGTGCTCAGAGAACAGAAGCGCGGGGGGGGGGGGGGTCCAAACAACTACACAGCTGAGCATTAGGCCGATGCCATCGGGTCGGTTCCAGCTGGATCAGGATGTTCCTACTGGGCCTGCTGGTGGGAGGAGTCCAAGCCCACAGACGGCTGAAGCGTATTACTGATGATACTATCTGAAACTTGGTCGACCACGTCTGTCTAGTCTCGACTGTGGAGGTCAGTGTGGTCAGCTAGCCTTAGCAGAGAAAGGAGAACAGGTGCGTGTGTGTGTGTGTGTGTGTGTGTGTGTGTGTGTGTGTGTGTGTGTGTGTGCTGTGAAAAGGCGGCAACCCCTCATAGCAGCACACATTTACGTTTCTTCTTGGGCTCTGGGGGCTCCAGTGCTGCCAATATGGCCTCATCAAACACATTCTTCAGGCCTTTCTGTAAACAAACACACAAACAAACAAACAATAAGGGACGTACACACACACACACACACACAGCTCAAAGAAAAAGCCAGGTGGATAAAAAGCTTCTTCAAATGAATTTCAGTCACTCTGAAGGATGTTTGCTGCAGTTTCTCACCAGTATCAGCTGATGGAGGGCTCTAGTTTTGTTGTGCCGGTCAGGGAGGGGGCGGGGCATGACGCTTAGCTGGATACAACTACATTACATCATCAGACCAAAGGGATCACCGCAGAATCACGCACACACACACACGCACGCGCACACACACACACAGCTAATCGAAGTAATGTTGGACATTTCAGATTGAAAGCATCGACCTGGTGACCTTGGTGGAAGAAAATAATCCAGCCGAGTTATTTAACAACTAAGAATGTTTAATAAGGACTAATCTCTGTACTGTGTAACTGGGGGAGCAGCTGCATGTTTTCTACGTGTCCCTGCTCAGACACACCTGACTTGTCTTAACTCAGAGCAGCAGAGCCTTTGTTTACCTTCTGCTAACAGGTTTCTGCTCCTCTGAGAGGAGACAAGCCTGGGACATGTTAGCCACATGTCCCAGGCTTGTCCTCGGCTCTGAGGACGGAGACAGGATGAGAGGACATCAGGTGATGGTCTGGGGGTCTCCCACAGAAACATTTTAGTGAGCAGATGATCGTTTCCTGCATTCAGGTGCTTTTAACAGCTTATTTAATCCTACTTAAACAAACAACTTTAAACTTGAGCTTCAACAACAGAATAAGATAAATAACTAACAGCAGGTTTGGCCTGGTTTGTTGTTTTGATTGAACAGAACCCCAACCCCAATGTGAGAAGCACAAACCAGGCTCTGCTGCTGAAGACACTAAAACACAGAGCTGGATGTTTGTTTACATTTGCTGCTGCTGACAACAACAACAACAACAACAGGAGGCTTTGGGCTTGACTAAGATTTGATTAAAGCTACCTCCCCTTCACACCCCCTCCCACTACCTGTCCTTAGGAGACATTTGGACGTTTATCACCTTATGTCCACAGTGTCTCTGGGGAGGAGCAGATGAATGACGTAAACAACAAGAAACATCAAACTCAGGTTAACAAAGGCTCCCTCCCAAATGTCTTTCCGTTGAATTCAACAACGTGAAGTCATTGATGACAGTTTACGAGGAGGCCGAGACACCGTCCTCTTTGTTCAGAGCCGTCTTAACCCGTGCACCCTCCAGCAAGGCAGCAGAGCCCCAACAAGACCCGGCCCACGTCTGTACCACTGCTAGGGATTCATGTGTCTGGGTTGTGACGCGTCCTCATCTCCTCGTGTTGAGCACGACTCATCACGCTCACATTACTGATCGACCCAGATCTGACCGGACCCGTCGGGCTTGCTCCATTCAGGCTCGGATGGTGTGAGTGGAGGTCGACACAGGAGACCTCCAGGTCATGCAGGCCATGCGTCACTGGTTCTAATGGGAGGTCTTAAAACCCTCTTGAATATTTCCCCTCCTGGTTAGTATTGGAACTGGTTAACCTGTGGAACCGGGCCTCGCTGTTCACAGAACCGTTTCAGGTTTAACAGTTTACCGTCCTCAGGAGGGTGAATCGTCGTGTAGGTTTAGGAGAAACTATGAATAATTCAATTTGATTGAGCGCCAGAGCTAGCATTAGCAGCTAGCTTCAGGGACGGCCTCACGTTATTAGATGTTCGCCCATCAGTCGTGTCCTGTGTGTGTTCGTGTTACTCATGGAAGTATGACTATGTAGAACGTTGAATTCTGTGCATTTCACATAGCACTGCTTCAGGGTTCCCCAGAGCTTTAAAAGGTCTAATTATTCATTTTAGGTCGTTTTTAACGCACCAAATTAATATTTAAAATGTGAAACGTAGCGCTGAAACACACAGTGGTTTTATGGATGACTGGAGGCTTTGTAGAATGTGAGCACCGCAGCTGGACTCTACAGACACTTCCTTCTGGCACAGATGGACCAGACGATGACTTCCTCAGCGTGAAAGGTCGGCAAATAGAATATTTGAGGATTTGATAGAATATTCAAATTAGGAATGTAAGAAAATATCGATATAGCAATATATTGCGATATTTTTCCTGCGATATTATATCGATGTTCAAAAGCTGTGTATCGATTTTTTGGGAAGAATTTACGTGCAAACATTTGTGTATTTTCTTTTCTTTTGGTGCAAATCAAATGCCGTCCGCTAGTCAGCAGTAGGGTGCAATGGCGTTAGTTTCCACCACTGAAATGTAAATCCCTCTATTATGGTTCAGATACCTCATGTTAATCGTGTTAAGTATCAGTTTGGACCATTTATTGAATTTTCCTATAATAATTTTAGTCTAAAAAAAATCACTATAATTGTCCGACTGAATATATCGTGATAAGTATCGTATCACCAGAATTTCACCAATACACATCCCTAATTCAAATACTAAAATAGTTAAAATAAAAGGGTTTGTGTAGCCTGCTAGTGACTCTAACCACATCTGGTAATAACGTGTACTATGCAGTAGTGACATCACACAATCGTTACGTGGTCAGGTGTATTTTCCAAACCCTCCACCTCCGTGGCGGAGCTTGATTACACCAAGTCCTGGAAGAGTTCTCTTCAGAAACCACGACAGCCGTGTTGCTCGGATCCCAGCTGAACCAGAACAGGTCACACAGCACAGCATGCCTACTCAGTGCCCCGGTTTTACCCGTTTGTCACAAATGTGACCCCGGTGGGTTGTTCTGAGATGAACAGTGTCTGTTTAGGTGAGACGTTTACTGAAATAACATCTTTTGTGTTTGGTAAAACCATATTTACAGATTGTTTATGTTTATGTATTTAGCAGACGCTTTTGTCCAAAGCGACTTACAAGTGATAATCGGCATGTTGCCCTTGAGTCTAACAACAACAACAACAACAACAACATTGACATCAATCATGGAGAGGAGGGAACAAGGAGTGGACGGTAGAGAGGGGGGATGGGTGCAGGGAGGGTGCTAGTTTAGAAGATGCTCTCTGAAGAGCAGGGTCTTCAGGAGTTTCTTGAAATTTGAAAAGGAAGCCGCTGTTCTGGTAGTGCTTGGAAGGTCATTCCACATTTGTGGAACGATGCATGAGAAGAGTCTGGATTGTGCTTTTTGTAGTACTACTAAATATTGTTAAGCGAGGCGGGCGTTCGGCCGTGACCTCCGTGTCCTGCTTCCTGCCAGCTGCATGGCTGCCATGTGAGACTGGTGGCGCTGGTCACCAGTGGAGCTCTCTGGTGGAGACTACAGAAGCTCTGCAGCTCTTTGACTTTGATGCTCCTTAACTTTGAAGTTTCTCTCACTAAAAACACCCAAAAACATCTGTTAGCTTCAAGTTAGCATTCAGCTAATCTCCGAGCGTGGCACGGGAGCGGAGCTAGGGCTCATGCCACACGTTCAGCTCCACCTCTTTTAGCAGTTTTGGCCGGAACAAGACATGCGACACGGCCAAGATAGTGGTGATGGGAACTGCCCAGCTTTGGCTTCATCTACAGAAATGGGCGGTGCTTTGTCCTGGATTAATAATATAACAATACAAAAGGTGAAGACAGGAAATCTTTGTCTTTTTTTAAACACAAACATACTTCAGAATGGCTGAAAGTCCTTGTAACTGAAGAAAAGGGTGCATGGCAACGTTCAGAGGAGTGTAACAGAAAAAGACGGGAGCCAAAACAAGCAGAGAACGTGTCTGAACACATTCATGAAGCTAAAACAAGTGATGACGTGATATCATGCACCACCGAGGGCAAAGTGCTACTGAACTCAAAGGCAAACGAAAGAGGAAGTGGAGGAAAAACAGGAAAGCCCAGACGTCCAACAACCTTAAGCTTCGACTCCCGTGGCTTTCCTGGGACGGGGCAGCAGGACAGACCTGCTCCAGCAGAAGTCCACACCGGGTGAGTGGGACACGGCCATGGAGCACACGCAGGCTGCAGCCTAACTACTACACCTACTTAGTGAGGAGCGCTACAGCGACAGGAGGCAAGGTGTGAAGGAACAGGACGATGGAGCAGAGGACAAAAGCATGGAGTCAGTAAAACAGACAGCAATCCTCTTTCTTTGTGTTTCAGGCGGCTCAAGGGCAGCTAGCATAGCCCCATCATAACATTCTTCAGTGCTTGCTACAGAGACAGGAGAGGAAAGAGAACAGCACAGCGATTAGCAAACAGATAAAGGATGGATGAGGAAAGTCGATGGTGAGATGGTAACTGGCTTTAGTGGTCCACTATTCTGTTGAAGGACTCATCGTTCCAGACACGCTAGAAACCACCCAGTCACAGCGATGAAGGCCGGAACGACCCCGCCCACGGGCGTCCTGACGTAGATCTGAAAACCGAGTCCAGCTCATCACCGCCCCGGTTCCTACAGGTCAAGTTCAGGACGTTTAAGACCACGTCTGTAAGTATCTCACAGCCCGCAGCAGCAGAGCGGTGTGAGCTTTAGCTAACGTATAACACGTGTTTAAGGTACAACACACACTTCTACTGCTACTGTAACAGTGGCGGGATCTTAACACCACTTTTTTAGAGGATAACAAACCATTTAAAGGTTTCTCTGTATAAACCAGCCTTCATGTCAGCAGCAGCACCCCTGCTCAGACTCCTCCGGTGTTTGGAAGGTGATGGACTCAGGTTAACGGTTTCAGTCACAGCTCTCCGGGTGACGCCCGGCACCATGAGGGGCTTTGCTGAATGCTGCTACTCCTGACTGTTGCTGTGGCTGCTGTTTTGTTTAGCTGCTGCTACTTTAGCTAAACGTCTCCTCCGCTCATGATGGAATCAGTCATGTGACCCGCGGAGGCCCACTGAGACGTTTACTGAATGTTTCCACTCAGTTCCAAAGAGGTCCGGAGTCCTGGCGCCCCGCCCTGGGCGTGAGTCAGCCTTCCTCGTGGTCTGCTGAGGTGTCCTGCTTCTGCTCTGCTGGAGGGCTGTGGTATGTGTACCATCACTGCTGTCGGTTCCTCCACTCGTTATTTCATTAAAGAGGTTGACAAACGAAACTTAAGAGGACAAATACAGCACGGACAAATTACATACAGCCCACATTTTAACACCCAGTTGTCAGAATTAAAGACTTTTGAAGGTATTATTTCCAAATTCCTAAATTCAATGCTTTTGAGACCCCGCGGGAACCCTGATCAAAGATGGCTGCTCGGTGAGACATGGAGAAGAGGAAATGGACTGTAAGACTAGCTGCAGGAAACAGGAAATGACACGTACAGCTCTACAGCCTATTGGAACATGGAGAAGGAAGGAAGGGGCAGAGCTAGAGGTGAAGGTCATGCCTCAGCAGCACCAATGTTCTCGGAGCACGCCAGAAAAACCCATCCTCCACCCAGAGGGGGTAGTGTGGGCCGGGTCTAATCCTCAGAGCTTCACACGAGACGTCAACCTGAAAACCTCTGCCTCTTGCTGCAAAACCACTACCGCTTATTCCCCGTTTGTTCTGATGCTACAGGGAGCCTTAGGCTCCTCCCCCTCCACTCACCTCATGGGTCCGTGAACGACGGGTTGTTTTCTAATGGCCTTACACCCATAACACACGTATACCTACACGTTGTACCTCAATTCCAATGATCACGGATTATGTGAGTCATGTAATCTGATTTATTAGGTTGTAATTAAAACAACTACCAATCAGACGCGTCATCTATGACATCACAGCGGAGCCTGCTCCCCGTGCAGCTGCTGCTGACCACATGACCGCGTTCGCTGCTCCTGCTGTCGTGGTGGAAGGAGGACATGAAGCTCGCTAAACTCAGCCGTTTCACTGCTCCGTGTTCTTCACGTCTGCTGTGATGACATCATCAGGGTGGGAGGAGTTTGCAGTCTGTTACGTTACATTACTAACCGACCCTAAAGTAACTTCTGCTGCCAACAGAAAACAAGCATCTTCTAAATCCACGGTCATCATGTAGCATCCATGGCACCTATCAGACGGGACCAGCAAATAGCTTGATACCCTCGCAGTCTCGCGGTCATTCTGTTGGCAGTAGGGAACATTCGACACCTTCATTTTTTGAGAGGGGTGATGGCGGCGCTGTGGACAAAGTTAAAGGAAGCAGCGTCCCGACCAATCACAAGCTGGTGGTGACAGACAGTTAAACATGTGGGCCTCCGTGAGCCCTCGCACCGCCGGAGAAATCAGGCTACAGGCTTCCTATAATCACTGGAACATGATCTTGTGGCATCAGGCCGGCTCTCTCTCAGCACCAGCACCCTGAACCCTGGCCCGGCAGCTACACAGTACTGGTACAGCTGCAGAACCGGTCCCATCCCAGACGTGTTCTAACAAGCAGCACCAGCAGACACGCTCCTCTTTCCTCCATTTTCTTATTTCTTGCCCTTGATGTTTCAGCCACACAGTGTGTGTGTGTGTGTGTGTGTGTGTGTGTGTGTGTGTGTGTGTGTGTGTGTGTGTGTGTGTGAGAGTGTGTGTGTGTGTGTGTGAGAGTGTGTGTGTGTGAGAGTGTGTGTGTGTGTGTGTGAGAGTGTGTGTGTGTGAGTGTGTGTGTGTGTGTGTGTGTGTGTGTGTGTGTGTGTGTGTGTGTGTGTGTGTGTGTGTGTGTGTGTGTGTGTGTGTGTGTGTGTGTGTGTGTGTGAGAGTGTGTGTGTGTGTGTGTGAGAGTGTGTGTGTGTGTGTGTGTGTGTGTGTGTGTGTGTGTGTGTGTGTGTGTGTGTGTGTGTGTGTGTGTGTGTGTGTGTGTGTGAGAGACACTGGGAAGCGTAGTTACCTGTGTGAGGGCTGAGCACTCAACGTATTTGACAGCCTTGAGGTCTCTAGCCAGCTTCTCGGCCATCTCTGGTGTGATGGGCTTCTGCTTGTTCTTGGCCAGCTTCTCTATAGTGGACGGGTCGTCCCGCAGGTCAATCTGGGTCCCGACTAGGAGGAAGGGTGTCTTTGGACAGTGGTGGGTGATCTCTGGGACCCACTAGATGAACAAACAGCATGTGGTTACACCGACTCATCTGAGTAAAGACAAGTTTATGTTGTAGAACAAGCATCCAGTATTCTGTCCTCCTTAATGAAGCTGACCGCCTCAGTCTGAAGGCCTAGATCAGAGCCTGCTGGGTTGGACATGTGCAGCTCCTCAGACAGGTTTACAGCTAGAACTGAAGGACTATCTACCAACCAAGAGACAACAAGAACACTGTACACCACTTCTGGGTTCCTCTAGGATGTATTAATCACCAACAGACCCCTATGTGGGCTGGCCCTGGTTTATCCTCCACACTCGGGTCTACTAACCAGACGCTCTGGCCTGCGCCCCTAACCTAACGCAGAAACAGGGTGGAGGGCTGATCAACGCCGATCCAGAACCAGCTCCCTGCTCTGGTGCAGTTTGTAGACACGGTGGAAGAGATCTTTAACATCACCATGTTTCATCTGCTGGTTTCACTCGGAGTGACTGCTCTCGTCGTTTTGACCTGTTGGGTTTTCGAGGACCTGTGTCTCCTGTAGCCGTGTGAACCGGTGGTGGTGCGCCGCTAGTCTGATATGTAGGACTGCATTTAGACCGGGCTGGAGGGCCTCAGCCCACAGCTTACAGAGTGCATGCTTACCTTCTCTTTGACATTTTCAAAGGAGGACGGGGACACGACTGAGAAACAGACCAGGAACACATCTGTCTGGGGATAACTCAGAGGACGTAACCTGTCGTAGTCCTCCTGACCTGCAGGACATAAAAATGACGCTTTAACAACAAAAATGATAAACAGACCCTAAAACCAAGTCTGCACCACGACTGTTGTCCTTCCAGTCTGCACGGACCTACAGAACACCTAAAACATGGACGCCGTCCTCTCTAAGGCTCAGATCAAAGATGTCTGCTGCTGTCCACTAGTCTGCTGCTGGGGGGTTAAGGGCTGCCCACGCTCACGCATTTGACCCTCTTCACACGCTCACGCCACACCTCCAACATCTCCTGCTGAACCAGCGCTGCCGCTCCCTCATCGCGCGTCACACACAGTGAGTAGGGCGCCGAGAGGCCGTCGGGTTTACGAGAAAAAGTAAGATTATATTAATTCTAGTATTAGCTACTGAACACACACACACCCCTGTATAACAAGCTTCTCTCCGCTCTGGCTGTGAGGTGGGCGGAGCCTGCGACCGATGGGGTGGGTGGGCAGGCCCGGTTCTCTGTGAGCTGCACCACCAACAGGACACGCTGTTGTTTACAAACGCCGCCGTGTCGCCAGCCGATTTCCACGCAGCTTTTGTTTTCACTCATCAGCCACAGGTCCTCGCTGCTCCCAGCGACAGCCAGCCGGGGTTCTCTCCCCTACATTAGCTGGTGACGCGGTGAATTTAAACCCTTCACCTGTTTGAGGGACCAAACCCTCCTCTGTAACCAGGCAACTGGCACGGCAGCCTGGGAAGGCCAAACTTCCTCAAACGTATGTTTTCCCACTGGGAATGTTTTGAATAGAACAGAATAGATTAATAATCCCACAGTGGGCCATCCCCTCATCACAGCAGCACATGCACTTGGAGAATCATAAGATTACATGGTATCTGTCCGCACCCAAAGGGCCCTCCCCGCATGGAAATGTTCAGACGTTGGCAGCCCTGGGGGTTGTTCACGGACTTCATGCGTGTATCGTGTCACACTGTAGAGTTACAGCCGTGTGCTGGCCATTTGGTCTGAATGTGTTTTTTGTGAAGAGAAAAGAAAGGAGGGCAACTTCATCTTTATTTGGACACGACGGTGTCCCGCCCTGGCCTAAACTCCTGGCTGTGATAATGTCACATGTTTGTGTCACGATACAAGAGGAAGACCATACCTGCTGTATCAAACAAGCCCAGGGTGTAGGGCTCCCCTCCGATCATGACCGTTACAGCGTAGTTATCAAACACCTGGGACACAAGGTAAACACAGGTTACGCTCACACACCACAACTAGTGTGGTCCATCTTCAGGCGCGTTTCCATTGTTGGAACCTCAGGGTAAGTTCTGGGAGGGGGAATTAGGCCCAGCCCTCTCAGCCAGACAGAACCAGCTCTGTGCACAATGACAGGTTTTTTTCATCCATCTGGAGGACGACAGCAGCTGCATGGTGTAAAATGTGGCGTTTGATGATCAGAAAAGGCTCCGTTTTTTACAGCGCTCTGTGAGGCAACAAAGCCCCGTACTCTGCCACGAGTTCAGTAACGGCGATTTCATCTGCTGATGTCATTTTCTTCAGAGAGCCAACCAATCAGAGTGAGGTAACCAAAGGTTCAGCTCAGCTGGGCCTTTCCAAGCACCTACCTGATACCGGCCCGTTCGCTGAAGTGGACACACGCGTGCCGGATAGTTCCGGTTAACTTACCCTGAAGTTTCAGAAAGGGAAACATGCATTTGATGGTCTATGCTACTTTACGTTTGAAATATCAGAAGCATATTTCAAAGGCTGGACATAGCATAAAATACATTTTTGGATTATTAAAGGAGGTTCGTTTAAAAAACCCTTCAAGCATTACAGAAGAGAACCTAAATGGAAGACGGTTTCTAGCAACAACAGAGAAATGTATACAACAAAAACAATTATTTATTTCCTCAGTGCAAACCCCCCCCCCCCCCCCAGACACGAGCTGCCCGCTCACAGCTAGCTACAGCTGCTAGCTGGCTCATTTCTATCAGTTTTAGCTTTACTGGGAAATCTTGGCTCTTGTGTGAAAATAACATTTTAAAAAATCTTGATATTGTGCTATGCAGGTTAACAAAAGCTTGATTAGTTCCAGTATCGAGCAGCTTTAGCTATTTACAACACAAAACCACATTAAACATCTAATTTACAATGAAAGACTCAACATTTCAGAACTGTTCTACTTTGAGCTAAGCCTACAGAGAGTGTTAGGGAGGGTGGTCACACACATACCGTGGGTACGTATTCAGAGGGAAACTTGTTTGTCGTGTAGGAGATGAGCAGGCAGGTTTTACCCACGGCTCCATCTCCAACGACAACACATTTGATGGTCTGCATAGCTGTGTTTTACAGTCTGCACTACTCATCCAAGATCTGGAAGAGAAGAACCAACACAGGAACATCCATTACTTTAAAACGCTCACCGCACATCAGGTCTCGGTCAGCAGGGATGCACAAACGTGGTGAGACCTGTACCTGCTGTTGGGGACAAATCCGTACAAGAGGACATAAGAACAACAAACAGCATAACAAGAATAGGGACTAGAGGTGCTGAAAAACATCGATTCAAGCCTGAATCGGGATTCTTATTTATGAAGCTTCAGAATCGATTCCAGGAACTCAAATGTTTGGTATGTTACAGGTTTCAGATGCACTTTTGTCTGTTTTCTGATCTTCGTTAGGAGAGTCAGTCCTCCGTTTACTTTTGTGGTCCCATACATTCAGATGATTTATGTTTGAATCTGCTGATAAGCTAGAATACGATGTTGTCCCTACTCAGAGAGTTGAGATATTCTCATATTTATTTTCTAAGTTGATAAGTGAGTACTCAGGATGACTCATGTGTTTATTTTAAGTTATTGATAAACGAGAGAACACATTTTCCTTTGTAAGAAATCTAAGGTACTTCTTTTAAACAGGCTGAGGACTCAAATGTTAAACTTGTTTCTACACATACTTGAAAAGTATTTGACCGTATTACCTTCAAAGTTACTGTTAGGTAACTACAGATTTGTTATATTTAACAAGGTAAGCAAAAATAAATGTTGCCTTTTGGTCAAAAGATTGTTTCTGTTTACAGTTTTAGAATCACTTTAGTTGTAAATTAGCTTGTTTTTTGGCATGACCAGTTTATAGTAAAATAAAAATGTCCCATAGCTTTAACTAACTTCAACAAAGGAGTTCATCCTGGAGCCGACACTCTTTGTTAATACTGATTCTGAATCGATTTAAATCGAGCACCCCGAGAATCGGAATCGAATCAAATCGTGAGTTGCTCTGAGATTCACATCCCAAAAAGGGATGCCCCGTTCCGATAGTGATATCGGCCCAAAAGCGCTAGTGGACTGCATCAGAACTCTCCGATATCAGCAGTACGATCCTCTTTAAATTCCATTCCAGTAATTCTATCCATCAGCACCCAGATCCAGCATGCAACGTCCACGTGATCTGAACAGTGTGTGCTAGCAAAGTAGCATGTGGGCCATGTGGTTGTACTTCTCGTTAAAGTCAGAAAAAGACAGTTTGGCTCGGTTCAGCACTCGTCAAGCACCAGTTTCCTGTGGTGGATCAGAACCGGAGACGATGAATACGTCCCACCTCATCCTGCATTTGAAGCAGGATCATAAAACACAGCAGGATGATTTTCTCCGTGTCAAATTGAAACTTTAGACACTGTAAAGGGTTAATTTACATCTGTTTAATGAGCCATAAGACATGAGATTCCATAGTAAATATGAGATCAATCTTATGGATCTTTGGGTACCTTGAACCAGAAGATTGGAACTTTTTATTGCAGGGATTATGCAACACTTAGTATTAACCAGTTTTGACTCACCGGCCAAGTTGGCCGGTAGATGATGAAAATCTACCGGCCAAAATCCTAAATGATTTAGATCTACCTAACGCATGTTATTCTATATTATGTTGATTCCAAACAGAGTGACAAAATAATTAAAACATCAATTAATAAGAAAAACAACTCTTTTGTCATTTTTACTATTTATTTATTTATTTTTAGAGATGTTTTTATGAACTCTTTCATTGAAATCTAGTCAGACTCCTTGTTTTCTCTGTCCATGAAGTCTGGCCTCCTGCTTCTGACACCGTCTTTGTGCCAAAGCATCACAGCCTCATTTGGGTCCTAGTCCTTGATCTCTGGAGAACACAGCTGCACCATGAGAACATCTGAAAGCGTGTCAGGGCTAGGGTTGTCACGGTAACCGGTGTAGCGGTAAACCCCGGTAAAAAAGTTGACAATAGTAATAACAGTCTTGTTTTAAAAAAAAAAACTATATTATCTCAGTGGGTTACCGTGGCTGCGGTGTAGGCGCGGTGACCCTTACCAGCCACCGTACCATCGGCTGAAGTTGCCGGCGGCACATGCGCACTTTGTTGTTTACAACCAAAACTTTCTTTAAGCTAAAGCTGAAATAATGGCCAGAGGAGGAGACGGCAGCACTCTGGACATTTATTATCCCACAAAGAAGACAAAGTGGGAAGTACGGGCGTTTTTTGGGATATTTGAAGAATGCCGAGGGACAGCTGATAGAAGACGGCTATCCTGTTTGCAGCACGAGCAGAAAAAGTGTCTGTGAAAGGCAGCAACGCTTCAAATCTCATGACACATCTGCGTGACCATCACCCACAACTCTACAGTCAACGCAAGGCAAGCTAACGTTAGCGTTTTAGCTAAAATGCATGATCCGAGGATTTGGGTTGAGGGAGAATGCAACGAGTCGCTATATAAAGCAGCCGCAGCGCCGCTACCTGCATATAAACCGTGTCGCGGACACCGCCATGTTGAAATGACGCTATGCATTACGGGGCTCCCAGGGGCCGATAAGAGTTGGTCTCTCTCCGAGAATAATTATGAATTTAACAATGATTACTGCCTGATGACATTTTCCCACATCTGCAAAGCTCACTGGAAAGACACAAACCGAGGACGATATTTTCCTGATATAGGGTTTATTACTCAAGTAAGGGTAAAAAAGTATCTGATTAGAAGTCTACTTGAGTACTGAGTATCATCTGATCTAATATTTTTAAATGATGACATCAAACAGACATAAAATAAGAAGTTATGGGCAAATATTGGTATTTTAAAGACTAAAGGGGAAAGTGTAAACAAATAAACAACATAATAACAAAATAACACATTTTAGGCAAAATTTAGACACAAACTGAGGACAATATTTCCTGACATACAGGGTTTATGTAATTGTGTGAAAATGTGGCACGTTTAAAAAAAATACCGCGATAATACCGAAAACCGTGGTAATTTTGGTCACGATAACCGTGAGGTTACATTTTCACACCATGACAACCCTAGTTAAAAACAAACGTTTTCACATATTTTCCATGTAGTTTTTTGCCAGTTCCTCTTCTGAAAGGTAGACAATTGTTTTTCTCTTTCCATCAGAAAATCTTAATATTCTCCTAGTTTGGCCCAGCACAGTTCACTTCCCAGTTACAGCAACAGCCTTATATCATAACCACATCAGTGGAGAAAATGCTCAGTAGCAATGAGAGAATTTGCTGTGGCATTTAAGTGATGTTAACTATTATTTAACATTTAAACGATTTATTCAAATACCCTGGTAAGGGATGTATTTCTGTATTTGGAGCATCAGAAAAAGTTTTATGGTGGAGGTGATGTTTTAAAGTCACTGAGAAACTGCATACATGCAGTTTGTTGTTTTGCTGCTAATACAGTAGCGGGTGCAGCCGCTAATACGGTAGCGGGTGCAGCTGCTAATACGGTAGCGGGTGCAGCTGCTAATACGGTAGCGGGTGCAGCTGCTAATACAGTAGCGGGTGCAGCCGCTAATACAGTAGCGGGTGTAGCTGCTAATACAGTAGCAGGTTCAGCTGCTAATACAGTAGCGGGTGCAGCCGCTAATACAGTAGCGGGTGCAGCTGCTAATACAGTAGCGGGTGCAGCTGCTAATACAGTAGCGGGTGCAGCCGCTAATACAGTAGCGGGTGCAGCCGCTAATACAGTAGCGGGTGCAGCTGCTAATACAGTAGCGGGTGCAGCTGCTAATGCAGTAGCAGGTGCAGCTGCTAATACAGTAGCAGGTACAGCTGCTAATACAGTAGCGGGTGCAGCTGCTAATACAGTAGCGGGTGCAGCTGCTAATACAGTAGCAGGTACAGCTGCTAATACAGTAGCGGGTGCAGCTGCTAATACAGTAGCGGGTGCAGCTGCTAATACAGTAGCGGGTGCAGCTGGTAATACAGTAGCAGGTGCGGGTGCTAATACAGTAGCAGGAGCAGCTGCATATTTTTGCAATAAAAAAGTTATGTTGTAATGGAATTCATGCATTAGTTTTTGTTTGCTTTGAACCCAGAGCAGACGTCACACGCCAGACGACATCAACACTGCATACTTTAGTATTTGTTCATTTATCGTGAGTAATATCGAAATTGCAATATTAAGCACTGTTATCGAATATCGCAGGTTTTCCTGATATCGTGCAGCCCTATATTCTTCTATTAATGTTAAATATTAGAACAGGCATTGGAAAATAAAAGCTTGTTTTAGTTTATTTAATAAGAAATAAAAGCTAAGGATTAAAGACAGAAAAACCAAGCAATTTCAAAGATGATCTGATATGGTTTTTTTATTGCTGATATGTTGAGGTGACAGTCAGGCCATGGCCGGTATCTAGATGTTTCCGTCTTTATCTGCACACTAAAACGTCACAAACAACAGTTGATGGGTGCCCATTTATTATATTATTTTCTTGTTACCGGAGAAAAGAGGCAACAGCTGCACAACAATTAGCCGTTAGCACATATGGCTGCTACGGCGTGGCTCTTTTCCAGCCAAGGATTGGTCCAGTGCGGAGCAACACTTCATATGATTGGCTGTTCATCATCTTTACATTGAAGTTTCCATCAACCCTCTTTCATACAGAGGAAAAGCTATTTGGAAATCTATACTGCTACTGTTCCATCGCTCTGCTCTGATTGGAGTAAATAAAACAATTCTTCATAAATGTGAGTATCTAACAAAGCAGATTATCGTTTGGAGTAGGACACTACCAGGTTGGACCACAACACCAGAAGCTGCATATCTTTTGTCTGGCTGTTTTATTTCAAGTCTTAAAGTCAACTGCCTGTAACTGATCAGAGTAATGGACTCACACCCTTGACCACTTGATGGCATGTGAACACATTAATTAGCTGTTCTCTCCTGCTGAACGAGTTCATTCTGAAAAAAGCCATGGAAGCGGAGTGGACAAAGTTTCAACCAAAGCCTTGATGACTACAGGTGAACCACTGGTGCACCAGGGGTTCTAGCGGAATCAGGAAACTCCTCAATCCTATCAGGGAATGTTCTGACTTGTGATCACTTCCTTGGGAGAAATAGTTCCTGGCTTCAAACCTTTGGCTGACGTGGGGCTTGTACCTCTAGTCTCCAGTGAGACAGCAGAGCTTCAGCCTCTAAAACATCAAACAGCCACGAGAAGATGCCTGTCCTTTTCCACAATCACACTTCAGGCTAGGTAGGGCGATTGGACAACTTGTTCAAACATCTGCGATTGGCTAAGCCCTTCACTGTTGTTTTTAAGGAGCAAAGTGTTTTTAAACCTATGAATACGTCCTTCAGATGGGACATTGCAAACCTCTTGTTCCGTGTACATATTACACATCACTTGAAAGCTAGGACTCTAGCTGTATTACTAAGATGATCTCGTTTATGTTTGGCTTTGATTTATAGATTGGAATGAGCAGTAAACCCAGGGGGATATTTTCCCAGGAGGAGGCTGAATCCCAGACTCCTCACTCCTGTTGACCAAAACTGGAGCCAGGTCAGTGCCTCATGATGCACCACGCATAAGGACGTTTATGTAGAGAACCGTGCTAAGCTGTCCTTTTGGTGATTAATAAACAATCCCAGATAAAATGACTCCATCAGAATTAGGACGATTATGAGGCCGGTTGCAGAGAAACAAGGCTCTGGCTGCAGCTGCATCAACAGCTCCAGACCTGATCCACGCATGTGTTTCTAGGCCAGCTGAATGGCCCGATAATAAGCTGATGGGCAGCCTGATGAAGCTGGTTATGCTTCCAAAGTTGTGTCTGGCACCACCAACGCTGCATTTCCTCAACTAATAGAAATTCCCAAAACAAACCCTGAAGAGCATCAGCCCTGGAAAACAGCATCCATCTGAAACAGGTCGAAAGCTGCTTCTGGGATAGAAACTGGCCCGAATATTTACTGGTGTCAAGCCAGCCTCCAGTTTGTTTTCTGTTCCCCGTCTATTCAAATTATTACGGGAATGGATGTGGAAACCAGATTTCAAAATAAAATTCAACTTCTGACAAAATGCAACTACTCTTTGGAAATATGACTTTTGCTTTTAAGAGCATTCAGAAGTCATTGAAAGAGTAGTTCAAAAATGTAAATTTACAGGGCTTTTACTTTGAAATCCAAAACAAGATTGCCTTGATATTGACAGGGCGCCAATAGTGAACAGGCCTAAATTATTTGTTGTTCTTAAAATATCTGATAATTCACTCGAAGTTGAATTTTATTTTGAAATCCAGTTTCCACATCCATTCCCGTAATAACTTGAATAGACGGGGAACAGAAAACAAACTGGAGGCTGGCTCGACACCAGTGAATATTTCCTAGCACCGACCACGTCGTGTCCCAGTCAGGATGGACCCATCAGGCAGCTGAAACCACCTGCCCCTGCGCACTCCTGCTAGCTTTAAACGCAGACAGCGGCGTGCTAGTAGCCCCAGTAGTAGCTCACACTCCGGCCCGACCAGGCCCGCTTCATGCCGGCTACCAGAACTAGAAACTCGCGGCGGCTTGGTCTCGTGATTGTTTTCAACCCATCGATATTTTGCTTTACAGCCTTCTTCAAGCTTTTACCTGAACAATAACCCTGAAAACACTCTGCTCCGTACCCAGCTGCTCAGTTGCAACCAGGCCAGCTGTAAAAACTTTTGTAACTTAAAACTAATAAATCCAGTCACCTCTAAACGCCAGAGACAGCAGGACTCCGGGAACGGTTGAGATAATGCTGCCGCTGTGAGCTGCAGGCTAAATATACCATCCTCCTCCATTAGCTGGCGGGCTAAAATGGCTCAGCCACTCCTAACGGATGTCATGGCTGAATGAGGGAATCCATCCCAGTTGCTCATACAGAACACAAACATGAGACACGCGCCAGACCAAACCACGAACACCGTCACGTTAAACCCGCACAAACCAGACAAAATTAACGAACCTACCGTGGGACTTAGGTGAGTTGCTCCGCCGGGCGTTGGCAGCTTCGCGCTCGGGGTTTCCCAGTCAACTGAACAGGGGCACGCTGCGTACGTACTGAGGTATTACGTCATCCCGCTGAAACAACTCCCTTCACCGAGTCTGCCTTCAGCTACGAGCCCGAGTTCTGCTTCATTTATTCATTTACTAACATGTGCACCTGTGTACGTGGAGCAGTGCTCCGTCACACCGTCACCAGCTGGAAGTGTCGCTCAGAGACCTTCTTACACTTAGACAGCAACACAAACTGAAAGAAAACACTTTATTTTCAAAACTGTTCAATATGGTTGAGGAACAATTAAAATATCCATGTAATTAGAACCCAAATAGCCCCAAAATGGAAAAACATTTGCTCGAAAAAAAAAAAGAGTCACTGGCATCTCCACGTCTCTAGTTGGACACACTCTGCAGCAGGGTGATGTTGTCTCCCTTCAACATGATCCTCCCTGAGACACAAACAGACGCAGAAGCAGACAGGTCAGTTCACAAAACGAGAGACAAAGTGTCCGTTTACACAAATCAACATGGAATCCCCAGCACCAGGAATTCTAGAGCCTCAGTACAATCACAGGGTGGCAGCAAGCCGCTCAACGGGCCGCCCTGCTGGACCCAGCAGGAGCAGCTTTACAGAGGGTGTTCCTCATACACACACACACACAATAGGGCTGGTGATATGGCCTAAAATTAATATCACGATACATTGAGGATTTCACCTCGATAACGATAAATGGACGATAACTACAGGTGTGTGCAGAGACCAAAGTTGTCCACTAGATGGGGCTGTCACATGTGTTACATTGGTCTTGTTCGAGATGAGCCAGTTCTGCGCAGATTAGATCACCGGTGATCAGCGAGCAGTGCTTGCCGGTTGTCCGATTTGACGCCGACTTGCTCTGACGTCATGCCTACGTAGGCAGCGATAACCTCGTGAGATCAAGGCGGCTGCAGATTTTGAAGCAAGGCGCTGCAGTTGGTCTCCATCAGCTGCAAAACCTAGAGGACGGGAAACGCCTGGCTCTCACCTGATCTAAGATCTGATTGGTTCATATTCTGATCCAAACATCCGGTGGTAGAATGCGAAATGTTAAGTCACATGTATTCTGTAAATCATGTTACGTTGATGATGCAGTAGGATTATTTCCAGCTGTGTGTGTGTGTGTGTGGGGGGGGGGGGGGGGGGGGGGGGTTATGACACGTCTCACCTTCATGTTAATATTGTTTTATTTGATGCCCTCCACTCTGAACTGCACCAATCCAGCAACTGCTGCATTTTAATAACTAGTATTAAAGGTGAATACACCAACATTTGCACAAGAATAATTTCTGTTTTAAACTCTCAGTGACACACTTTGCAGGGGGGGGGGGGCATTTAATTTTACTTGGCGTCTGGAAAAACATCTCCTTCTGCCCCCTTTATTTAGGTCCAAGACCACTACTGGGCTGGCCCTGTTAAACACCTTCTACACCCCTGCTTAGTAGACTTAATGAAGTATTTTTAAGCCAGTATAAAAATGACTGAAACACAAATGTACATATTTAGCATTATTGACCAATATCTTTGATTTAATTTATTGTTAAGAACATCAAGATGCATTACAGTGAACATTATAATAAAGTACATGTTTCCAGTGCAGAGAGGAGACGACCCATAGAAGCACTGGTCTGATCTCATTTCAGAGAAAACTAGAACAGGTCAGATGCACCTAATGAATAAAATTACTAACATAAACTCAGGAATCTGTTTCTTTGCTTCATTGTTCTGGTGCTGAAAACATCACTAATGTGGATCAGATACACAGATGAATGCACCTTATTTATTATTAGGAAATGAGTGGGCGTGGTTTACATCAATACATTATTTTACATCTGAAATTGATATGGATTGATCAGAAGTTGATATGTGTGTATTGTTTATCTGAAAACTATTTACAGAGCAGCCTCAGAACTGAGATTAAATATGTTTGATCACAATAGTAAAGGAACTATTACAGAACACGTTGTTCAGTAAAATCAGAACATTAACGTTTAAGTGCATGAACTAATGCATCTGAACTCATGCAGTAGGAACTAGGAAATATGAGATACTAGAACATTTTATTTTTATTTGATTTAACTGATTTTTCCTAACGTTGTTGGCATTTTTCCCCACACACACTTAAACAAAACGATGATATACTTCCTAACAAAATCTCTTCAGCTTCATCATCAGAGTCTGACGACCATGGCTGTGTAAAAGCTTCATGTTTCCTGAAGCCCTACTGGAGCTTTGGGAGCCTTTTCCCTGGTGAAAGCACGTCATTCTCCTTGTTTAGAGGTGCTTCTACCTCTTCACTTCCAGAGGGGTTGCCTCCAAAAGTTGGTTTTCCAACGTTTCCTCAGAGCCTGACTTCTTCTTGTCAGCACCAAGTTGCCTGATTAGAGCTCCTTACATTCCTCCTGCTGCTTGTTTGTTTTCTGAAGCTGTTGTTGTCTTTCCTTGCTAATCAGGAGCTCGAGTCAGTCCTTCCACCTTTTTAGAGTGTTTTACGGGATTTTCTTATTCAATGATGGTGGAATATTTTTCTCAATACCCGGCTGCAAATCTTCTCCAGCCTTTGATCTTTTTCCCAAAGAAACATGTCAAATGTGTGAGTTTGGTGTTCTAGCGCTGCTTTTGTGAGAAGAAACCATCAGGCACCTGCTTAGGTTAAGTAATGCAGGAGAACTGCCTGTTTGATGTGAAGAAAATGGAGAATCAAACTGAAGTCATAATTCAACCTTCTCTTAAATCAGTTTAGCCCTAGTCAGCATGCACTCTTACCCAGTGGCTTTCTGTTCTTGGTCTTCATGTGGATTTCTTCAGAGTCATCTAGAACCAGGTTCATGTATTCATCAAAGCCCTGAAACATAAGCAGAGATTCAGACTGAAGCAGAGCAGCACTTCACCTGGTCACAACTCTTTAACTCGTAGTGGGATTATCTCTACAAGGCCCATCAACCTGGCCATGTTTAAGATCACATCAGTTATGGTCGTACACCGCCCGGTAGGACCGTCACGTCCGCACGACCAGGTTCTCAGCTCGGTGTTCAGTTTCAGACATCCCATAAAAACAATACTAGCTCATCACCATGAAGGTTAGTCTGCTGGAGAAAATACACACAAATGCACCTTCCTGAGTGACTGAAAACCAGAGCTGTAGCAAAGCTTCGATGACGCCAACGTCAGATCCGGTAGTCGACGCACCGCGCCCACTTGTTGCATCCCCAGGAGTTAGTAAGTAGAGGAGGAATCTGCCTGTTTTTCCTCTAGTTTGCCTTCACTAACATCTCCGCCAAATACCGAAGACCCGGAACAACGTCCGTCCGCTACTAGATTCCTTTCCTGTTTTGCCCGCCTTCGTCTCCCGGCAACGGACAACAACTTCCGGGGTCAGATGCGCTGCTCCGTCTCTACCGCAGATGTAGAACATCACCGGGAGCGTTTCTCCCTTCATGAAGGAGCTTCTTTCAGACATTAGTAGAGCTGTTTTGGTGGTAGCAGTCTCTCCTCCCTACTGAAAACAGCCTTCTACTCAGGGTCTGAAATTAACACTCACCAAATGGAGCAATTTGCTCGCATTTGGCGAGTAAATTTTTGAGCTCTACCTGCCACCTGGCGAGTAAATGTTTGCACCAAATTAGTTATGTTTATCAGTCATCTTCCATGGATTTCTGATCCTCCTCCCGCCTGCATGCAACGTACACAAACGTACGCGAAACGTGAACGCCGCATCCAACGTCATTTCCACCTATCCCATTCAATCAGTTTATCAAGTTAGCCGTTAGCTTCGTGTTAAAACTAGCGGTGAGATGTGGCGGTTTTTAACTGGAGTCAGCCAGCCTTCCAAAAGAAAACTCGTCGAACTGGAAGAAAAACCACCAGGACCAGTGGCAACCAGAAGATTTTGTGAAAAGTGGCGAACCGGAGATGGCGGAGTCGTGAGACAATGGCTACATTATGATGGCCACGTAGCGTTGCTGCCTTTCACAGACACTTTTTCTGCTCGTGCTGCAAACAGGATAGCCGTCTTCTATCAGCTGTCCCTCGGCATTCTTCAAATATCCAATAAATGCCCGTACTTCCGACTTTGTCTTCTTTGAGGGATAATAAATGTCCCGAGTGCTGCCGTCTCCTCCTCTGGCCATTATTTCAGCTTTAGCTTAAAGAAAGTTTTGGTTGTAAACAACAAAGTGCGCATGTGCCGCCGGCAACTTCAGCAGATGATACGGTGGCTGGTAAGGGTCACCGCGCCTACACCGCAGCCACGGTAACCCACCGAGATAATATAGTTTTTTTTTAAAACAAGACGGTTATTACTATTGTCAACTTTTTTACCGGGGTTTACCGCTACACCGGTTACCGTGACAACCCTAGCCCTGACACACTTTCATATTCTCATGGTGCAGCTGTGTTCTCCAGAGATCAAGGACTAGGACCCAAATGAGGCTGTAATGCAGCAAAAACGTAAAAGAACCTGCTGAACTTTTCCCGCAGGACAAGTGTAAAGTTTTCATCCTACAACGAACAATACGGCACGGAGGAAGTTCAATATTTAATATGAGTTTTAGAGAAACTCTGGGCGGTGTGAGGTGAGTTTTTAAAGTAAAAAAAATCCTTTCACAGGCCCTGAAAACACTCTGAAAAACAGCCCATCCACGTGGGTATCCAGCAGCAGATAACCTATCAGGCATCCCTGTTGCATATGGAGGTAAGGAAGAATGAAACAAAGCCATTACTTACGATTATGCAGCCCTCTATCCTCATGTTGACCTGCTCATACAGCCACACCTGGATCCGTGAGCGCTGGGGACAGGCAGGGAACAACTTAGAGGTTCTTCATCTAAATAAAACCATTTCAAACTAAAGGGATAGCAACTTACATTTTGAAGGTATCTGAAGATAAGGTTCTGAAGGTAGAGTCAAGGAAAACCAACGCTCAGCAGTAACAGTACACGCACGTCTGTAGCCTACATTTGTACTCAGTTGTAGTGTTACCTTTATTCATTGCCATTAAAAGTAACTTATTACATTTTAAAGTAACAGAGTTACACTCAGCAGCTGCCAACATAAAAATCAGTACATAGGATTTGGTAACCATGTCCTGAAAATAAATGACAGCGGGGCTGGGACTGATGGTCGGACATCTCGGGCCGTGCCTTCATTCAGGTTTCACTTACAGGTTCCACTCCAAACAATCTCAATGTAACCGACCCGGCACAGAGGAGTTCTGCTCGTGTTCGGGCCAATGCCACTGACCGACTCTACTTTAGTTAGACCCAAACAAACATGTTTACACTTATTGTTATTATAAACCACAAAGGCTGAGGAAGACGAGGCTGAAGTTGGCTTCAGATCCGGGAAACCGCTAAAGGGCAATTACGCCCAATTTTTCTCTGACCATCTTTAATCTGCTCTGGCTGGAAAACTACAACACCTGCACTCTTCAAACCTGAACTGGATTATTCTAGACTAATAGCAGATTGCAAAAAACATCATTTGTGATTTGTAAAACCTTTTTCTGATTTGTGAAACTTCAAGAAACCAGATTTTAGCACGTTTTCTGCATCTAGACCACACTGAACAGCCATAGTTTCAAAACAACAATACCTAGACATTTCAAACCTGTACTGGATTATTCTGCACTGGTAGCAGAACAATTAAAATCAACTCTGATATTTGTGAAAGCTTTACTTAAAAGGCCATTTAATACCTTTTTGTGGTCCCTGGTTTCACAGCTCTGTTTCAAATATGACAGATGTTTAATTCAGGCTTTAAAAGTACTTTTCAGTAGAGGAGCCCTTAAGGAGCTCATGTATCTAACAAGGTATACTTAGATTCATTATCGCGTGTGCACTAGGGGCACTTCGTTAGAAGGATTCAGCTAAACAGCTCACTCTAAATTCTAATAATCTGATAGCTGCTGACTGTATATCTTGTAGAAATTAAATATTAAAATCCAAATTGGTAATGCGACCCGTGTTTCACCCGATAATAAAATGTTAAACATGAGAAATGACCAGAGCCTAACTGTTTACAAAGCCCATTAAGATCAGGATTAAACTGATCAGCTATTAAGTGCTGCAGATAAACAGACTTTAACTTTTCATGTAAAATACCAAAAATAAAATTAAAACTCAGAACTTCACCGTCCAACTTCAATGTTTAGTTCATCCAATTCACATGTGATCAATCATGGACTATTTAAACTATGTTCGAGTAACCTGCCATTAGTCTAGGATATTGCAGTACAGGGCTGAAGAGCGCAGGTGGTGTCGTTTTCCAACTAGAGCAGATTAAAGGTGGTCAGAGTAGAGAATAATTTGCCCTTTAGCCATTTCCCGAAGAGGTCGGAGGGCAGCTGTACAATGGCGTCCTCAGAACCTTTTCGATTACAACTGCAAAGTACTACAAAGTACTCTGGATAACCGATGCTTCAGGAGATCAGAAGCTCCCATCACCTCCAGCGGTACAGCTAACCGGAGCCATTAGCATTAGCGGCGCTAGTTTTGCTGCTAAGTTCGCCTCGGGGCCGTTTCTTTTTCTCCGACATGATGCGGAACACGTGCATCATCTCATTAATTTTCATAAACACCAGAATCACACAGTTGGAACGGAATCCGCGCGTTCGTTCAGCGAACTGGGCCACCGGTTAGCCAGGCTGCTAAACACCTAGCTCCACTCACGCGTTCTCCATCATACAAAGGATACGATGGGCTGCACCATGACCTTCTGCACCTTCTGTCCTTGTCCTCTGTACGCCATCTCTCCAGCAAAACACCAACGAAATGTGTTCGGTAAACAAAAACTGCACCTTCTGGACCAAATGCACCTTAACGTTTGACCCGCGTTGAGAGCTAGCTACAATGGCAGGTTTCCGCGCGAGCAGGATCTTTAACCGGTCTGATTAACTGATTTTTAACAAACAGCAACGGAACAGCGCCTCCGCAGGACGGAGGACTCTACTGCAGCAGCCTGTTCGTTTTAGCACACCCTCAGGTGCCAGACATCAGAGCATGGAGGGAAAAAAGCAGGTTTCATTCAAAACCCATCAGACTTCTGACTTCATACCGTACCAATTTATTTATTTCATTTAAAAGCAGCATGGGAGCTGACCAAATGCGCATAACAATACAGTAACAATAAAACTCATAAAAACACCAATAAATCAGCCAGTAAAAGCAGATAAAAACTACAATCAAACACACAATAAAAGAGAACTTTAAAAAGTCACAATCTGAAAGCCAAATCATAGAAGAGCGTCTTCAGCCGTGTCTTGGATGATGACTGATGGATAGTGAGTGACAAAGGCTCGCTTCCTCTTCGGGAGTAGCAGGCAGTGAGCAGGCCGCACTGCATCAAAGGTCTCAGAAAAAAGGTCTTGTAGCCTGACTAAACTTTTCCTGAGCTCCTTTTGTCTGCCAGACTTTTTTCTGAGACCTTTAGATCTGATTACGTAGTCAGAAGTCTGATGGGTTTGGGTTTTTTCTCTGTGGTCTGGATGGCTTTTGTGTCCCCAGAGGTGTTGTTCCAGGATTAGATCCGATCACGTGATTGGCTTGTTGAGTTGAGCTCATACCTCCTGGGGGTCAAAACAAAGTTGTATGCGTATATTTTGTAGTGTGTCGTCAGTCTGGGGCTTTTGGCCTCTAGATGGGGCTGTGCCACTTTCCAGATTTTACAGTCCATTTGTAAATATGAGACTTGGTTAATAGATGGACAAAAACAGAGTTAATTCCTCATCTTGATGTTTATAAAGCCCCTCTTTTCCCAGGAAGAAGGTCTTTAAATCCTGAATCTGACCATTGCTGGACAAAGCCGTTCCCCGTGATATTTATAGGTGGTTTTATAAAAAACGGGGTCTGCCATTTCTCTGTTGTGCACAGTAAACCTGTAACATGATGAGCCGAGTCAAGGAACACAGCCTTGAGTAGTTCACAATAGTATTAATAACATGCAACACAGGCTTGTCCCTGCCTCACAGAGGAGAAAGTGGGTTGATAATTAGCAGCCGAGGACAGACAAGTCTCTGCGAGTGGGGGGGGAGGCAAGGACCCTTGGTGGTGCAGGCCAAGGTGTCGCCTTTCAGGACCAGGATGCCTCTGCTGCATCTTAAAATGGCAGAGCTGCTGCAGTGTGAGTTTCTCTCGTCAGGCATGGCTGTGGAGCAACACATGCTTTACATCTCTATGGGAGCAGGAATGGACTGCTGAAGCTCAATGCCACATGCCAGCTGGCATTCCCATGAAGACGGAGGCAAGTGAGACTGCAGACTGGCTGCCTTAGAGGTCTTAAAAACCGCAAAGATGGAGGCCAGGGTGCCATGACTGTAGTCATTCGCCTTTTCATTAGCTTTCTGCGCCCATTAATCTGTGTGTGTGTGTGTGTGTGTGTGTGTGTGTGTGTGTGTGTGTGTGTGTGTGTGTGTGTGTGTGTGTGTGTGTGTGTGTGTGTGTGTGTGTGTGTGTGTGTGTGGACACCACATAAACACTAAAGATGACTTTTATCCACAAGGGGATACATCAGCATCAGTGTGTGCTACGGATAGGATGGGTCCCACATGTACCCTGACACGATGCCCTGCCACCAGTTGAACTCTCCTCCCTCGTTTCCACGCCTACCTTCTCTTCCCTCATTTGAACCGGTCAAAAGGAACTGCCCCGGTTAGAACACCCTCCTATTGTGCCTTGTTCCTGTGGCTAGCAATTGTTCTAAGGGAAAAGGAAGGCAGACAGGATGGTTGGGGGGGGGGGGGGGGGGAGGTGGATTTCACCTGCTCAAATTCCCCCTCCCACTTTGTCCCCCCATACCCGACAAATGTAAAGTCTGCAGGTTTTGTAGGGTAGAGCTGACCACCAAGTTCCACGTCTCATATTAACAGCTATTTAGTATGTAGATGGTGGAGTGTAGAGGGGATCGTCACTTCCTGTTTTCAGTGTTGTACTCCGTGTAGCTGTTCCGTGTTTGTGGTAGTGATGTGAACTCCGGTTCGTTCGTTTCTTACGGCTCAGCACATCTTTTTGTTTTTTTTAAATTAAGTTATCACCAGAAATTATGTAAAATGTGTGTGAAATTATTGACCGATCTACAAACTTACATTAAATAAGCTTTTTATTATTTAAAGGAAGACTAGGCAGTGTTGGCTTGTTTTTAGCACCTCTCATCTCCTCTCAGTGTGAAACATCTCCCCAGCCACAATTAGCATCTACAGAAGGGATTCATCACTAAATCAGATGTGTTCATGATCTAAAACATGCAGCAAACCTGCTGGAAGCAAACTGCAGCACCAGGTATGTCAGCTAAACAGCGGACGGCCACTCTGAAGTTGTAAGTGTGACATTCAGGCTACAGAGGGCGGTGGGGTCTAAGCGACTTTTCATTAACCCTGTAAATGCTCATTTGAGCACATACTGGTTCAGGAAAATTATTTTAAAATCTGAAAACATTGCAAAGTATCCCTTTAAATTACGTCTAACCATTCAATAGGAAACAGAGTGAAACAAAACAAATTTTAAATAACAAAAATAAACTATGTACATCAATTATTTATAGACTTAACTTTACCAACTTAGAAAAGCTAAGAAAATCACACAACAACATTTGTAGAGGCTGCTTGAAAAGATATGTGTTTTACATAGTCCACACTCTCCTTTTTCATTGTCAGCATTGGTAAAATGTGTACAAATCTAGCTGCATTTCCTGCTTTAACTCACGTCCTCACCTTTCTGTAGAGCTGCCCCCTGCCTGATCGGACCAGTGACGACATGTTTAGCCGCATGCTGTCCTTCAACCGCTGGCTGTCTAGGTGGTGTCCTGAAAACAACGTGGGCTACATTGATAATTGGAAAACTTTTTGGGGAAAACCTGTTCTGATGCGGAGAGACGGCATCCATCCCTCTTTGGATGGAGCAGCTCTTCTTTCTAGGAACATGGCCAGTTTTATTAGTCCTCCATGGCAACCCAGGGTCCAGACCAGGAAGCAGAGTCGTAGTTTAACCCACCCCTCTGCAGCTTCTGTACTGTTACCCACCCACTACCCCATAGAGACAGTGTCCTGCCCACGGCCAAAATCACACAGATTTAATATCAGGCTTAATAAAGCAAATCATGGAAATCTCATAAATATTAGAACAAATTCAACTGAGCAGAAAACTAGAAAAATTAAATGTGGGTTGTTGAACATTAGATCCATTTTTCTAAGACTTTGTTAGTTAATGAGTTGATTTGTGATAATCAGATCTCTTTTTTCTCTCTCACAGAATCCTGGCTGCAGCAAGAGGACTATGTTAGCTTAAATGAGTCGACTCCTTCAAATTATTTAAATCATCATATTGCTCGAAGTACAGGGCGAGGAGGAGGAGTAGCAACCATTTTTCATTCTGACTTATTTATCAGTCCCTTACAGATTAATAGTTACAGTTCGTTTGATCATCTTATTCTTAGTTTTCCTGATCCAGATTGCAAAACTGTAAAACCACTCTTGTTTGTAGTTTTATATCGTCCACCAGGCCCTTACTTTGAGTTTTTGGATCAGATCTCTGATTTTTTATCTGATTTGGTGCTAAATACTGATAAGGTCATTATAGTGGGGGATTTCAACATTCATGTGGACATTGAAAATGATAGCCTCAATGTAGCCTTTAGTAATATCTTAGACTCAATTGGTTTTACTCAAAGAATACATAGCTCCACCCACTCCTGCCATCATACATTGGACCTTGTGCTGACTTATGGCATAGAGTGTGGGGAAATAACGATCTTTCTGCATAATCCAGTCCTCTCGGACCACTTTCTGATAACCTTTGAGTTTTTTATAACTGAGTTTTCGAGACACGAAAGTAAATTTCACTATAGTCGGTCTCTATCTGACAACGCAGTTGCATATTTTAAATCAACTGTTCCATCTTTACTGTCGTTCTACACACCGGGAGGAGTCCTGCTTAACCTGGAAAAATAGTCTTGTGCTTTATAAAAATAAACTTCGACAAGCTAGACCGACATATTTTTCATTGCTAATTGAGAAGAATAAGAATAATCCTAAAATGCTTTTCAGTGCAGTTTCCAAACTTAACTCTATTAGAAACAAAATCTTTAGCATCCTCCCTAATGCGATTTCTTCTCCCTCAGTAAGTGAGGCAGCATCAGAGGTGACTGTAGAACCTCATCTGTGTTTGAACTGTTTTGATTCAGTTTAACTTTCAGATCTATCAAAAATATTAGCTTCATCTAAACCTTCAACTTGCATTTTAGACCCAATCCTAACCTAAATATTTAAAAAGCATGTCACCCCCAAATTAACATTTTTTAGCTGATAAACTATATAAATGAGTGTCTACTCGTGCTGGACTTGAGTAGTCAAAATCCTATTGACCAGAATATAGAACAACCCCCCTTTTTCAGACTTATCTTCAGGAAAAAAACAAATAAATCACTTTTTAAATAAACTATTTCTATTGAAAATAGGAGACCAAATACTGAGCAAAAATACAAATTTAATGCAAACTAGGGTTAGGGTTATGCTTTGCTGACATGTAAAATCAAAGTCAAATGAGGCTTTTATTCACAGACATCCTCTGCCTTGCTGTACTCACTGTCAGTCCCGGTGTACCATCAGAATGCTACACCTGCTGGCTCCTCCCATTGAACATCATCTTCACTACCATCCGAGGCATCTATGCATACAATGTTTGATGCCTCTGCTGAATTGACCACCATCATCTTCAAATTAGCATAACTCTGCCTTACTAGCCCCACTTTTGGTCCAATCTGCTCCAGACCTCTCATGTCCATTTTCTTCTCCTGTTGAGAACACACAGCCAGTCACCCTCTGCCATTATGGGCGTGTTATGACCCCAGACCATTATCAGCATGTGTGAATGCTTATTGTCCGATTGTAAGACAACCCCACATTTTAAAATTGTTTTCAGTGAC